AGTTGCCATTGATGGTCATACCACCTTAAGTGGCCAGGGTCCAGGCCCCTTACTCCAATTTTTTGTTTGAAGCAAGCAAAGGCGTCCTCATCTTTCAACGTGACCATGTCTGGGTCTTGAGATGTTTTGAGACTCCAATTGGAGGTGTGTCCACTCTGATGAAGTTGAAACAGAGGAGAGCAAATGCTTGTATTTGTCTAGTATTTGTCTAGCAATCTGAAGGTCGTTTTTGACCGCCTCCAAGCTGAGCTGTCAAGCGGCTTTTTGGCTTTGGAGATATCTGAGATACCCATGTACAATACATTGTATACACCCATTGTCTATACCCATTTTCTGACTCAAAGAGGACGAAAAAGCACGCCCCTTCCCGCGGCCCCTCGGACAGAGGGTTTTTGTTAGCCTGTGAGGTTGACAGTTAACTGTGTTTTAACCTAATAGCAAAAGGAACCTAATTGCAATGGCCTTTTGTTGGTAGCTACCTTTTCCAAGCTTTGGTGGCTCTTCTACACTCCGGTTCCCCCTGAGGCCGGCAGCTACACTTTGCGCTCCGTGTCATTTCAACTTCGTGGTGCCATGTGTCACTATGGGGAGCTCCCAGACAGTGGTGCCTACAAGGCTCTACTCACTGAAGGTCCGCTGCGGCAGCGTTCTCAACGCATGACACGGTCGTCTCGGTTTTGAGGTCAAGTGGCCGTGTGGGCGCGAAGAAGTGGATCGAGGGTTGAACATGAACCGGATTTTTCAAAGAGACTGATAAGACGCGCAGGGGAGGTTAGCTAAAGTGTATAAAGGAGTTTCAAAGGAACTTGACAGGGAGTGAAAAAGAAGCTACAAGGACATGGACTGGAATTAATCTATAAACACTAGGAAAGTGACCGTGGTCAACAGGCTGGTTTGAACATGTAATCAGGGAGGTTCTTCTCTGAGCTGAGCTAGATATGTATTGGCCAGTTCTTTCTTCCAAAACAGTAGCGCAAGCGGGATTGCGCAAGCGGGATTATAATATTGATCTCACTGGACATTGCCCCTGGCTGCCTAAGCATGTTTGTTCAACCTGTCCTGGCTGTCTCATGCAGCGCATTTCAACATATTTTTGGTCGGTGGCAATACTTTAGTCAATAATGAGAACACTCCGGAATGAACACATAGACGTCAGTTGAATACTCAACAGGAAGCCGCTGGCACATCCTCGATGACACGGCGCTGCGCAGCAAGTGCGGCGATGAGACGCAAGAGATCATTGAAGCAGAAGGCCACCTCAAAATGAAGGGTAACCTACTAGGGATGGCCTCCAATCTACTAGCGATGGCCTCCAACTTACTAGCGATTGATCTCTTCATTCATGTCCCACAGACTTTTTGTAGTTTGGGTCCTTGTAATGTAAAAGGAACAGAGAAAGTATGTAATTATTGGGTCAGAATGGAGCGCAGCGCCTCTGGACTAGGAAGGTTTGGTTTGAATGTCCTTTTCCTTGCTTTGTGCCTTGGTGCTCTCCTTGACAGAGATTATGTTATTAGGAACAAGTGCATCGCTTCTAGTAACAAGTGCCTTACTAGTAGTAACAAGAAGCTTATTAGAAACAATGTTCTTAATTAGCTTCTTGTCCAGGTCATCATGTTTGCCTTTTAATGTACCAACGGCTCGACACCAGAATGGTGAATCTGCGCCCGCACGTGTCTTGGCACCATGAGACAAGTGGTACAACAATAAAAGCCATGGCCTCCAACCTAATAGCGTCCTTGCTCCTAGTAGCGATGCCAGGAGCCCCTAGTAGCTTCTTGCTCCTAGTAGTAAGGCCAGGAGCCCCTACTAGCGTCCTTGTTTCTAATAGCGTTGGCCTCCACCCTAAGTTATATCTCAGCGGGATCTTGTGAGCAACGACATGTCTTGACATTTGGCGTTCGATGAGCGTTTGTTTTGCCTGCTGTGATTCTTGCTGTCACCAATAAGCAACGAAAGGACATTTTGGTGAGAAGGTTCGTAGCTGCAAAGTTGCAAAGATGAGATGCGCATGGTCTGAGTTCTGAGCAATCACAGTGTCTCCGTGTGTTTGTTACCACTCAGCGTGCAACAAATCCATGAGTCACGATGGAGCTTGGTGTCCAATTCCTTGGGCGGTCAATGATTGGGTTTATGGGATGTGCATTCACCTAATGACCTAATGTGACTTAATCAGTTTGCACGCTTCCATTCAATAGACCTGATGCAAAGCAAGCTGCTAGTCTTTCGGGGAGGCATTGAAATGATGCAAAGCAGCTGCACAGCTGTGTTTGTTCATAGTGATTGTGTTGAATGTAGTGTCCATGTTCGGGTTTTCCTGTCTTGATCCCAGGCAGCTTCCTAAGCGCAAGCCAATGTGCACTGAATACAGCTGAAATCAGACAGTGAAGATGCATGAAGCTGGGTGTATCAAGAGCAAAAAAGAGCAAAGCAAAAAAACATACGTATATAACTGGTTGGTTTGCTCTTGTTTGTTGTTGCTTGCTTCCAGTCTGGATCTTCTGAAGGATTTGACAAAGGGCCAAAAGGTCATGTACATAGAACTCACGGATCTCACAGTTGCTTTCACCCAGCGAACAAAGCGGAAGAGCATAAACGACAAGGGAGCATTGCTTTTGTAACAGTAGGGCGCCACGGGCATTTGACCATCGAGGTAAGAAACGATGTCTCCTCCAGTTTTCACTTGACATTGAGCAGCCCAATATTATTCAAGCTCTCACTTGCAGCCGTTTTTGACAAGTTGCACACATTTTGCAAACTTGTGACCGCAACGGTTTATAGAAGTTCCTTCATGTTGACAGAAAGAAACGAAGCTCTTTGTCTGCCTGACAGCATGCAACTGTACAAAGCAAGCAAGAACCCAAAGAAACCCAAAGGAACCGAAACTCGTACTTCCAAATTCCCAAGTTTGCTTTAAATGCTTGGGCTTGGACTTAAAAGAAAAGAACATGGAAAGCAAGAAAAGCCATGAAATCAACAAGACAGGTCTATATAAGGTTGGGTGTAGGGAAGAAAACACAAAGAAAGACAGAAAAAAAGAAAGAACGTCTACAAAATGCCACCAAGAGAGCTGAATTCACGACCGACAAATCTTGGCCTCTTCAAGGCATGAAAACGGTCCAAGTTGAACATCAGACCCGTTGTGCGGCACTTGCCATGTTTTGCCATGGTCTTGCGTTTGCAAGAGTCTTTGACTCAGCTGACTTTAGATGTTTGTAGCTTGTAGGTTTAGGATTCCCTGGATTTTAGGTTGGAGGCCATCGCTATTGGGTTTGTAGTGTTTGCTCACTTGGATTCCGTGTTTTTTCTTCCCACACAAAGGACACCCCACTAGATAGTGTGTCAAAGGCACTTGATGTGATAGGGCATTGTGACTGTACAGGGCGCTGGTTAGGGTGCTGTGTAGGTTGCGGTCAGAAATCCAAGGGTGCTGGCCAGGGTGGAGAGCAAGATCATACACTTACTTAAACTCCAATCATTGTTTTTGTGCCTTAAGTCTTAAGTTTGTCCTGGTAAATTATTGACATTGTATCCTTCTCTTGGCATTGTTGCACCATTTCCTGCAACTCCCTCACTTGTTGAGGCTGCGGCAACAAACGCGGCAATGGTTTCCAGGTGCTGCGCCGACCAAAATGGGGGGTGAAGCGGGTGAAACGGGTGAAACGGCGATCGGCCAATAACATCAACCGTGAGGACTGCAGAGCTTGCAGCCAATGCATTTTGTTGGCGCGTTCTTGTTGCTAGTAGCTAGTAGTAAGGAGCTACTAGTAGCGTCATTGCTCCTAGTAGCGATGCCCTTTGCTCCTAGTAGCTCCTTGTTCCTAGTAGTAAGGCCAGGAGCTACTAGTAGCGTCATTGCTCCTAGTGGCGATGCCCTTTGCTCCTAGTAGCTTCTTGTTCCTAGTAGTAAGGCCAGGAGCTACTAGTAGCGGCATTGCTCCTAGTAGCGATGCCCTTTGCTCGGCTTCTTGTTCCTAGTAGTAAGGCCAGGAGCTACTAGTAGCGTCATTGCTCCTAGTAGCAATGCCCTTTGCTCCTAGTAGCTATTTGCTACTGGCTAAATAGAGATAACCTATCACAATATATGACAACTGTTGTGCATGTTGTTTCCTTCTCAGGTGCCTGGAACATTCACTTCGTCCAGGCTAGACTTTGTCGTGCCACATGGCTCCCGTTATTTTGCTCTTTTAGACGACCCAAGAGCTACTTCTACTCCCATTATCTCCTCCTAGTAGGTTGGAGGCCATCGCTCTCAGGTTGGAGGCCATTCCTAGTAGGTTTTAGTAATGCTCTGCTTCTTCTCCTCCTTCACACCAGGCCGTCGCTGCTTCGCGACTCCAAAGGCTAGGCGTCCCTTGCGGCCAAAGGACATCGCGTTTGAGTACAGCGAAGTGGCGCTGGTGGTGATTGCTTGGGCTCAAGATGTTTGAGACGTTTTGATTGAATACGATGAAGGTCTTTTGCAAAAGCAGTCCGTCCCACCATGTGGCAACTTGCAAATAGGGTGGAATAGAAAACCCACACATGTGTTGTTCTCAGATATACACACAGCCTACGCTGTCAGGTTGGAGGCCATCGCTAGTAGGTTGGAGGCCATTGCTATTAGGTTGGTGGCCATCGCTAGTAGGTTGGAGGCCATTGCTAGTAGGTTGGAGGCTGTCCCTAGTAGGTTGGAGGCCATGGCTAGTAGGTTGGAGGACATTGCTAGTAGGTCGGAGGCCATTGCTAGTAGGTCGGAGGCCATTGCTAGTAGGTCGGAGGCCATTGCTATTAGGTTGGCCATTGCTAGTAGGTTGGAGGCCGTTGCTAGAAGGTTGGAGGCCATTGCTAGTAGGTTGGAGGCCATCGCTAGTAGGTTGGAGGCTATCGCTAGTAGGTTGGAGGCCATGGCTAGTAGGTTGGAGGCCATGGCTAGTAGGTTGGAGGCCATGGCTAGTAGGTTGGAGGCCATGGCTAGTAGGTTGGAGGCCATTGCTAGTGGGTTGGAGGCCATTGCTAGTAGGTCGGAGGCCATTGCAAGAAGGTTGGAGGCCATTGCTCGTAGGTTGGAGGCCAGGTTGGAGGCCATTGCTAGTGAGTTGGAGGCCATTGCTAGAAGGTTGGAGGCCATCGCTAGAAGGTTGGAGGCCATTGCTAGTAGCTTGGAGCAATGGCTAGTAGGTTGGGGGCCATTGCAAGAGCGTTGGAGGCCATTGCTAGTAGGCTGGAGGCCATTGCTAGAAGGTTGGAGGCCATTGCTAGTAGGTTGGAG